TGTATACAAATATAAAGGAAATATTTTGGAAATTTTCACGGAAACTTTGAAGACATTCGATCGTATACACACTTAACTTTCTCGAATATTTTGCAACGTTCGTTTTACCTTTTTGTTTCGCAGTAATTGCGTTTTGCATATAAGAGATGTCACGTTCAATCTGTTGGTGTGTTCTGAACGCGAAAGGACCAATACGTATGCTTAATTTATTTATATCGTTCGGATCAGTTATACGTCCGTGACGTGTGTCATTCAATTTCAATATTCCATGTATGTATGTACATACATGCGCGCGTTATTGTCGCGCGTATTGTCTATTTCTAATTTGCCACTTGATCGTATCAAGTTGCTACACGTAGACCACGCGGCTCATTGATCGTATCTTACGTTCCGTTTCGCATGGTTTAATAACAAAAAGGACACGATCAGGCAAAAGGAAATTGGTTGAACCGAAGAGTGGCAAAAAATGACGAACGAACGACTCGATTGGACTACTATCAGATGATGCAACGTAGAAATATAATGTACGCTCGCTTCTGAATTTTTAATATATTTATATGTAACGTGTTACGTACATATTTCTGGTTCACCGATCTGTACTTCTGATGTTATTCCAGTGTTTGCGCGAACGAGAGAACTATCCATCGTTTCTCGATTCGACGGATCCGATTCATCGTTATTTTCTCCGGATGGTGGTAAAATCAACTGTAGGTCGTTTCTCTTTGGCAAAACTTGTAAAAATGCTTGCTGCCACGTTTTGCCCTCGCTCACCCTGAGCAAAATCTCAAACACTGGAAAGAATTTGCGTTTCACTACGTAATTCCAAGTTCGGTGTGCGTATATACATCGCGTACGTCGAACGCTACGTACCATGATCGACAGTAAGAACTTTTCTCGCCTTCATGCGTAAAAATTTGTCCAGAGGTAATCTGCCGTGTCTCACGTTACACTGCGCAGCCAACCTATGGCAGAGACCCTGAAAATATCCGAATGCTCGTACGTATGAAGATTCGTACAGGTTATTAGTAATTAATTTCTTAGCTTACCTTGTGACTGTTATGATCGACCAGACCACCTATAACGTACACGTGATCGTGTTCTAAATGAGTGATAACGTTTTCCGATTCGCTCGTAAGGTATATAATTTTCTCCTTCGGATAAATATTCAAATATGATTCTTCATGAAATTTCACCTGTGTCACATTTGGAACACCGTTTAGCATCGTAACGTTACATTTTCTAAAATGTCTGTCTCGAACACGTGTGTACATAGAAGAAGAAGATCACATCGTTACGTACGTCCCAATGTTCGTATCCTTTATGCTTTTCCATGTCTGCTTTTGCTTTCCCACCGAAGCTAGTAAGGGAAAATTGCATAGGTGCATCGACTCGTCTGTTCAAAGTGTAACATCTCAGTATTTGCTTGGTCAGTTTCGCGATATCCTTGTCGATCATTAAATGACCAAAGGACAAGTCGATGGTTATTCCTATTTTACAACTGCTACCTGCCATTGTACATCTTTTTAGTGCTTTCCTCGATGGCCCTACGTCTATGTTGTTCGTACGAGCATGTGCCCGCTTTTTTCTAGCTTTCTCTCGTTCGCGCAATCTATAAAAGTTAACGAATCACTTTTAGTCAATCTCTCTCTCTCTCTCTCTCTCTCTGCCTCTCTCTCTGTTCACCAAACGACGACAAACTCGTCACGAATGACGTTCGTTCGATATCAATCTACGAATTAATAAGTTTAAAAACCTTATTTCATCCTTTCGTTCTAACCATTTTTCTCTTTTCCTTACTTTCTTCAGTTGACGTTTGCTTAAATTTTGATGTGACTCTGATAATTTTTCATCTACATCGCAACAAGTCATCTGTTCGTCGAGCTCACAGGTGTTGGTCACAGTGCAGAGTGCATCGTTTTCCAGTTTCTCCGTGTTGTTCGTATCTTTCTCGACCTCCATGTTTTCACACCGCAACATACTGCAAGAAGATCAATGAAAAGCATTGATCCTGGACACTTGGACTTGAAAAAGCTGTTTCGACAAAAGACCTTTTAGAAATTACAATTGATTACAATATCGTTGTGTCACCTCAAACGATTTTCAGGTTGCTCGTGGCACCATCTAGCGTAAATGGCTGCAAATATATACTTTGTATTAGGAGAATATAAGTTGTAAGAGGTAGCACTATCTCCGGGTGGTGACGCCATTGGTAGGAGTTTATTGGTAGTAAGCCGCGCATGCGCGAGAAAACCCGGCCCGTATCTCATCACTGGTAAGAGGTAGCACTAACTCCTACCAATGGCGTCACCACCCGGAGATAGTGCTACCTCTTACAACTTATATTCTCCTAATAGAAAGTATATATTTCCAGCCATTTGCGCTAGATGGCGCCACGAGCGCCTCGCAACATCACGTGACGTTAGTATCGTGACGTGAGGTTAGTATAACTTAGAGAGGCAACGATAGTGCCCTCTACCGGGACTTAGATATGCGGATACCTCAAATGATTTTGGAGTTAGATCTTCCTGTAACGACAGAAGGCGGGGAAAGCGGACGATTTTTCAAAGACTCGGAAAACGTGGCGTGAATGGTGCGATATCTGTTTTTCTGTGAACCGACAGAGAGAATGCAAGTTATCGGGCTCGACGGTCGTGTCGTCGGCTATCTCTTTTGTTTTCTGATACTCCAAGCGAAACTGACGAACTCTAGAACCTCTTGGAGACTCAATGCTGACAGAGTCGTCAAGACGACAGATTTTGTGACCACGATCGAGGATGATCCAATTTTCGACATCCTCGCGAGCAGTATCGGTGTCGGTAATGGACAAACTTGGAGTAGAACAGCTGTCACCGAGAAGCATGATAAAGTACAGCCTTACTGTCAAGATTGCAAGAACGTTGCCCCTGGAAACCACGAACGGTAAGATCCGATCACCGATCGCTGTCGGTGGCGTTGATCTTGGGTAAGGGCTGCGTACTTAGCATGTTTCGTCTCACACAGAACGTGTCCAATTTAGATAGCGTCGTCGTCGTCGTCGTCGTCGCCGCCACCACCACTTTCGAGAGCCCGAGTGGATCATCGTTAACGTGCTGATAATTTTACGAAATGGCAATCGCGAACAACACCACTCTGACTCGAACGTTTTCAGCCTTACCTTTTCAACAGGCGCATACCGTCCTACATAATTCCTATGTCGTCGACGAATACGTGTACGCATCATTAGTTAAAAATGTCGAACAATGTTTCACCTAACGTGCCTCGCGTTATCGCGTATCGACCAGTTCCACAGCTGATATCCAAAGTCGTTTCTCCCCGAGTGCATACACAGTTTGTCGGCATGTTTTTTTCTTTCAAGTTGCGATTAAGTTTATTTTGAATATTCGATAGGAAAAGTGTTTGGTGCATGTTCCGTATCGATGTGGAGCTCGTTGATCGCGATAAGCGTATTTGCTTGGGACCATTTGTCGAAACAAGACCGATTCGACCGAACGTTAAAAATTTCGTGTGAACCAGTCGCGTATCTCGTTCACTCGTCGTCACGTCCTACCCATCTTCGGAAACGTCGCTATTTTTAATTGTTCTCATATTTATATGTGTACATGTATGTGTAATCCGATGTAATTTTCTTTTTCTTCCTGTAGGTAGTTAGTATTTGTGTGTGGCTTACTGTTCTTTCAGCATTAAAAAAGCCCTAACTTTGGTCCCCTTGGCAGACGATTCTCGTCATACGTGTTGAAGGACACGCCGAACGCCACCGAATCCTTTCCTCCACCGTCTCCGTCGTCGTCGTCGTCGTCTTCGTCGTCATCATCATCATCGTCGTCGTCGTCGTCGTCGTCGTCGTCGTCGTCCACGTCCACGTCCAACGAGCAACCAACGTGCACTTCCGGTCAACAATGCGAAGATATAATCTTAGACTGTGGGAAGCCTGTTAATTTCACGTATTACGACAACTTGCTCGGCGTTGCGAACAGGGATAAACATCCCCTGGTCCCGGAGCCTGACGTAGCGCTCATGTTCAAGAAGAACGGTGGCAAAACTATGGACGTTGACATTGATTTACTAGAGAAACGTTTGATAAAAGCGAAACGAGAGGTATAAACGTTTTTTATGTCTATGTAGAGAATAGCGAGCGTACGTTACTACTACGTACGGAAAAAGTCCCGTTCGAAGTTTTTCTCTCTTTGTCGTCCGGACGCTTGTCGTCTTGGATCGACGAGTAGACGTTTAACGATAATTTCAAACGGGACCGCTGCATACCAAACCGCTTGTTGACGCACGTATGAACATCTTGTTGGACTTGTTGTAGAAACCAAAGTCTGTACAACTTTACAATCAAATAGGAAATTTTTGGCGTATAAAAGGCGATGCGCAAAGATCGATCGAGTGTTTTCGGCGAGCGCTCGCCGTGTCGCCGCACAACGCGGAAGTCTTATTGAATTTGGCCAGAGTGTTGTTGGTACAGCAATATTTGGACGACGCAACGTATTTAGCGAGACGTTCTTTAGAGCTGCAACCACCGGATCGCAACGCGTGGGAACAATACTTGACGCTCGGTCAAATATTCAAGGTAATGATTGATTGAACGTCCTCGAACGGAACCCGTGTTCTCGTGATCGTTTTCTAAACTAAACATGATATTCTCTTTCTATTTTTCCAGGCGTATGGCCATTATCAAGAGGCAGCGGTGCATCTACGACACGCTCTAGAATTAAAGCCAGATCTTTCGGAGGCAGCAGAAGCATTGAGAGAGGTGGAGTCGCTTCCCGCAGCGAGCATACATATCTACACGTTACTGATAATCATATGTTTGGTACGCGCGACAAACACGGAGCGGATACGACGTCCGTTATTTCTTCTTCTTCGTCGTCGTCGTCGTCGTCCCGTACTAACTACGTACGTCTACGTTTTCAGGTGCTCGGAGTACTTTTGGTAGTCCTGAGCAGCGTCGAATGCGACGAAGACTCTGGCCTGGTCAATGGACAACTACAACGTCCGGTTCAACGTCACTTCAGTCGTGCCATGGCGATGCGCAGTTTACGGCTTAACGTAGCTCGCAACAAACGTTGTTGATTATTCAACGCCGACGACGACGACGACGACGACGACGAGTAAACGAATAACGAATAATGTGATAGAATAAAATTCCCAATTATCGTTATCATTTATCTGTCTACAAACTATTGTTTGTAATCATTTTTAATAATTATTTAGCCTATCGATGATTATGCAATTTATTATAAACTACAAATAAAAATATACAATAGAAAGCAACTTTATCCTTTATTAACTACAAAAACGGAACTGCAGCGAGGAATAACACGTTCGCGAGTGGTGGCAATGGGTTTTTAAGTTGCGCGTGTACACGTGCACCCGCAGGGGATTTTTTTCAATGAACCCATGGGAGTGTCGTATATCCATGTCTGATCGGGATCGGGAAACATCCCGTTCACTGTGTACGCGTTGACTACCTATATGTACATGTACGGTATCGCTCGTTCTACCGGTACGCCCACGCCACGGTCAGTATAATGGAACGGAATGTACTTGCTGGAATGATTGGGTATGTCTTTGTCGTTATGTTAAATGTTCATACAGATATTAGTAACAACAACGCGTTACTCAACATAATTTATCATCATATACAATATACAGCGATATTAGAACGCGATCTTCCCTATACGTGAATAATTTACACCTTATTCACCTGATCAAAATAGATTAGAATATACATTACCATCGAAGATAATACTTTTCTTGTAATATATTATGTATACACGAAACAATGAACTCGACGTCGACGACGATCACGTTTTACTTTTACAAATAAAGATATGTATACGTAATAAATTTATTCGTCATTATTTCGCATATAGATACATCTATCGTGTTCGTCCTGTGTACAACAATATACAGTGTTTATTCTCAATTTTTATACCACCACACGATACTCGTGCGAATGACCTTTTTTCGTGTTTGCTTTCACGTTCTTTTCTTCTCGTTTTCTGGTACCCGCCTTCAAGTACTCTACCACATAATCTTTCTCGTGCACTATCTTTTCAAATTATCGTTCGAACCACAACGTGTTCACGGTAAAATCTATTAACAATATTAATAGATGAAATAAATTCTTAACGTATCGTTAAAAAAGAAATAAAAAGTACGATATAAAAATCTTATCCTCTATAATACAGCTGTATGGTAGCATAATAACAACGAAACGATTTCTCTTGGATTTATCCGTGCAAGAGTCGATCCGTATGTATGCATGCGTGATCGAAAGACTTTTGCCAATATCTGCTGTAAAGTTAGGCCTTGCACTTCCCTCACCAATTTTTGCTGTTCAATATATAAACACCGCAATTTAAATAGGTGTTAGATTACAGTTGCTTAATAAGACCGTATGTACTGTAATTCAATTCATAGTCCTTTAAGGGTTTTCACAAAGTATGCATCCATGCAGAGTTGCAAATTGTTAAAAATGTTTTCAGTGTATTCTCTTTTACATCCGATATCGTATTATTATCAGCATTCTTTTTGTTACCGATTAAGCTTTAGGTATATGCGGTCGATATTACTCCTTACTCTATTCTCAATAGATTCCTATTTGCTGCTTTGACTCTGTGTGTGTGTGTGTGTGTGTGTGTGTGTGTGTGTGTGTGTTCACTTTTACCGTCTCGTTAGTCTCGATCTGTACAAGATAGTAAACTTATTCGGTAACCATTTATATAAAAAATACGAGCACTCCACTCATTTCATATAATTTCTTTAAATAACAAATGTAATATGTACATTCCTTAAACATCTGCGATCTAGGTAATAAAGATACAACTGAGAACAAATTAAATTCTGTTGTTGCATCGTATAATATATTTGTTAACTCGATGTCTGACTCGATGCCCCGCGAGATGTTAATAGCTCTTCTGCTGTACGAGAATAAATTTCTTGCTCGATAGTCAAATAAAAGTTGTCTGAATCGAGTCGAAAATAATGGTTGCCATCTGCGATTAAGTGAAAATAAAAATTTAGATTTAGAATACGCCACTAAAATACGTCGTGATACGTATATAACAAGAATCATGTTCTACGCGAGCGATTCGTATGTATATATACATACATACATACATAGAAACATCTTTGTCAGTAATCACCCTTAAAAGATACCTGTACGCGTGCGTGCACGCCTGTTAATTAAGATCGTGCTGTGCACGCAGCGAGTATACATAATTAAATATACGTACGTATGATCTATGAGTAGTAACTACGGCACTGCTATGTTAAATTTTAATACAACTTGACCTGTTTTCAATTAAAATTGTACCCAACTAGCCTGGTTTCCGACCGTCGGCGGCTGCTGCTGCTGTTGGGCCGGCGCCGCCGGGGATTGTTGCGACGCGCTAGCAAATTCGCCCCATTCGGCGGAACCCGTCTGATTTTGATTCGGCGGCATTGGTTTGTGAGCGGGAGACGAAGTCGGAGTGGTCTTCGCGGGCGGTGGTGCAATTTTCACGCCACCCGGCGGTGGCGGTAAGCCGACGTTCGCATTGGCACGCTGCTTCGCCTTTGAAGAAACTTCGCTACCGTCCTTCTTCTGTACACGCGTCACGAGCGAATGTACATTTTCTTAGATCTCGGAAATCTCTTAGTGACACGTCCAAAGACGTATGTAAACATATTATTATTACTTACAGTAATTTTCATGTTTATTTTTATTGTCTCTCCTTCTTTGAATCTGAGATCCAACTCTGGCTTAGGTTCGTCCTTTTCCTTCTCTATCTGTTCCTGATTTCTCAGCCACTTGAAATGATCTTGAAGAGCAACGTTCAAATCGAAACTGTCGGACCTATCCAAGAACCCGACACCGATGAAGGCCGACCTTCCATTGTCATCCTGGATTCTGAGTACGAAATAACGAGAGGAATCGGTGACCGGTTCAACGGCAATCCCCGGATACTGTTCGATCGGACATTTGGCAAACAATTCCCCGGTCACTTTATCCTCCAGTTTGATAGCAATTGTTTTCCCTTGACAAACGAGCCTCATACGTCCGGTCCATGTAGGTTCTTGGAGATTCCAATCGGCTGCTCTAAAAGATAATAGGTATGCGTTTGAACGAAACAAGGAATTCTCGCACGTTCGATGCGTTTGGATGCGTTCGAATGCTGCACACTTGGTAGCTACGTATCGTAGGTGCCGTTGTTACGTATTTATTATTTAAAGAAGACTACCTTTAAAAATGTGACAAGAGTACAGAATAAAATTTGTGGAAATTCAATAAATCAGTTCGAGGCTGCAGCTGCTCTTAACGTTTCGACAACATATTCGACTGTATTCCAGATGTATGATGCGTGTACACCTATCGTTAACAATTCTCTATCCTCAACAATTTCCGGTACAAGTTTTGCTGCTGACGTACTAACAAATCGCGTCGACAATGGAATTCGGTAATGGGAGATACCGAGCCTTTCGATACGAATAATGAACAAAATGTCACGATGAAACACATTCTCGCCCACGTTATCCCTTCGTGAAATTGATTGTTGATTTATAGGAAATGCTGTCAAAAAGGATGAATCGTACCGATAACCCCTATTCGTTGACCTTGGCGGTATTTTAAACACAAATACCTCAGACTTAACCAGTAACACGCTTTCATATGTTTCCATCGTACACTTCTGCTTATCTGACAAAAACACAAAACGAACCGCGTCAGTAAGTACGCTCGGTGCTCGAACTTAACGGAGTGTGGTGATGTACTCTTTCAAAATTCGTTTATGTTTTGTGACGAATCTCTGCCGTGATTTGATAACTTTATCTCTAGTCACGCCTCCCATCCCCACACAAAGACCGTTAACCACGGATTATTTCACTAGCGATAGTATAGATTGACTTTGCCTTTGGTAGACGGTGGCGACGGTGGCGACGGTGGCGACGGTGGCGACGGTGGCGACGGTGGCGACGGTGGCGGCGGCGGCGGCGGCGGCGGCGGCGTAAGAGATGACGAAGAGAAAGCAGAGGATCTAGGCTCGAATTTATAGTCGCTTCTCGCACTTGACACTCAGCACTCAAGTGCGTCCCACCAATGTACACATTGTTATGTTTAAAAAGAAGTGAGAGTAGCGGAATAGCTGCGCAATAGTTTTTCTCCTTTTCCGCTTCTTTCACTTCTTTTCCAAACATGAAGTATAAAACTTTTACAATCTGAACATAACATAAATGTGTACATTGAACGCGGAACGGTTGGACGCACTTGAGTGCTGAGTGCCAAGTGCGAGAATCGACTATAAATTCGAGCCCTAATACTGTATAGTAGAGTCGGCTGTGGTTACACTACTACATGAAAGCCGGACTCCCACGGTATTGCCATTTTATTCTCAGCATGACTAGGTGTTAAAGTAGGTTGCGTCTGTATAGTCATACATATATAGTGACTATACATTTTTACTACAACAATAATTAACATGGACATCATGGAGACTGACGACGCGGCCGTTACACTGCCACCTACCAGACACAGATAGAGGTCGGTTTGTCGTCGGGTATATCGCATATCTATATTGCTCCTTCTGTCAAAGCCGCTGCGCTGGCTGGCTGGCTGGCTGGCACCGCTGGCACCTCCGCTGGTCAAAGGAACGCGTCCTCTGGCTTGGTTCTTGAATCGCTAGGATCTGTATCCGTGTATAACGAGAACGAGTAACGGGGACGAGTAACAAACAGGCTGCGAACATTTACAGGCACATTACAGGCCTCGTACAGGCAGAGCAACGGACAATGGAGCAAACGAACATGTAATTATGACGTAAAATGTCTTTACTGGGGTGTTTTCCATTTCAGACGTTCGAAACGATGTGATATACGAAGGTAAACGTCCACGGTACGTTAACATTTGTGTACACGTTATTTAATGTTTTATACAGCGTGCAACGTTGAGAGTGTTGATAATTAAATCTCGTTCACACCGCATACCGTATCCTAGAAATCAATTGTATTTGTGTTTACAGTGCTCGTTCGTGTGCGCTTAACGTAAATTATCTTAAGACGAGAGAAAATCTTGTAAAATGCTTTCGTTGTTTGAATTTGTTCGTGACGAAAGTAGTTGAGAGGCAGACAGTAAAGTGGTAAAAGATGATCAGAATGAATCGTCTAGTCTCACCGAGCGTAGTCCCACCAGTTCCATTTGACGTATGTGTACGTACATACATGCCTACATACATGCATACATACATACATACATACGCTTGATTTCCGTTACGGTCAGCTTGGTCACAGCCTTCACAGCTGTTTCTATATTATTCACATTTTTATTTTAACCATATTTGCAGCGACACAAAGGAATATAATTAATCGGTACTATGTTTTGAAAAATGCCATCTGAGATCGATACGAAGGATACGAAGGATACTGAGGAAGACAGCGGAGAGAATGAGTCGGAAGAACAGTCTGTCGCGTTGCTAATGGTTCCCGTGGGTAACGAAGGATGCCAGGCTCCCGTGAAACGTGTGGAAACCGGCGCTACGACCATAAGAATAAGTAACGATGGTAAAGAAGCGTTTATGTCTGGTATAACGAATGAGTTCATAGAACGAGGTGAAAATGCTTCTGTAGCATTAGAACCACGTGATGACCACTGTTCGTCGGACGAGAATGGTTTAGAAGGAGCGTCCGCTCCCATTTGCGAAGGAGAAGAAGGAATCGACGATGGGACGAGCAATGTTCAGTCGACGTTGAGTCGCGTCGAAAACGTGTCAGACGCTAAGTGTTCTAAATTGGAATCCGACCACACTGGAGGCGGCACACAGTCGAGAACTGTTACCGATGCCACTCGGGCATCGTCAGGCTGTCACGTTGCTAATGTTCCCGGTATATTGACCGAGGAGACTGCACAACACAATTCAACCGAGACGCTCGCGTCGCTGTTTCATAAGAACTTGACGAGAAAAAAGTGTTTTCTGGCGACCGTGGACGATACGGGTTTTCAATACGGGAAGGGAACGTATGCAGAGCAGCTACCCCTATCTTCCAGAAACATGATTAGAAAGAAACAATTTTTTAGCAAAGATTTACAACCTAGTAGCACGGAGTTACGGTTCGAGGAAGATGTGGGTGACAGCCGCAACAATAACGGTGATCATTCGTTTGGCGCCGATAATAAGGATTCTGCGAGAGACGGTTGTAATTTCTCTGTAGAGGGTATACCCTCTTGTAGTTCGAACGAACGTTCACAAATATTACCCTGCACGTCGACGAATGGAAGAACGCATACTGCCATTGCACATAAACCATTATTAAATGTAACAGAGAATAATAATAAGCGTACAAGTGAAAATTTAAACACATCAAACGATGCTACTGCTGCTGCTGCTGCTGCTGCTGGTTCGCACATGTTCAAAGGTGTGCCAAAAATGCAGAACGCTTTGGCACAAGGCTTGGTACAACGTACTTGTAACGATGTAATGAAGAAACCGTTTAAACTGCCGATTTTAGAAAATTTACCGGAGAGCGTTGCTGCTCGACAAACTCGAGAGTTCGAAGAAAATGCTGTGGCATTGTTGCCACGATCGTTGTCGAGCGACGTTAAAAAGGATCAGCATTTGGAGGAAGCCCAGGGGATAGAGATAGAGCCCCGTTCATCGAATAGCAGCGATGCAAGCAATTCCGATACGGAATCACAGCAAACGGTTCTAGGTCGCAGTGGGACCAAAAAGGTGCAGCTGTTTAAAATTTCAAAGATAATTAGAGACTACTATTCGACGTCCTGCCGACCTCTTTCTTTTTGCTTTCGTTTAACGCTGTTCTCGTTGTGATTTTTATTTAAATGCGTCGTGTCGACAGATAGACAATATTAAAATGTCTCTGAAACCGATAATCAATCGATGGATCGATCGACCCGTACGATACGCGTTGGTCAAAGTTGAAACTAGAATAATTACTTTGTTGAAATTTTACTTGCAGAGGCCGTGCGACACGAATGGTGTCGTAACGAAAGAAGGCGTGGAATATTATCAATTGTGGCGAAGTACGGAAGGGTTCTCGGAAGCTCTTCCCGAAGGTTTATACGAACCGTTGTATCCGAATCCTCCGCCGGTTCCACCACGGGTGTCGCACAGACTGTTACACAGAACCGGGCCACCGGAATTACCGAAAAGACATCCCCGAAAATATTCTGCACCCGTGCACCCGGAAGATTTCTTTGGATTTGAAATCGTAGACGTCGACGAAGCTTCGAATTCAAAGGTAATTGAAAGTTACTGGTGAAAGTCACTGAAACACGTCGTCCGTTCGATGCATGATACTCTGCGACGCGAATGATCTTCGGCACTGTTGATCTTGATCCTTGAGCACGGACGAGCAAGCGTTCTCTCGGAGCATTATTCTCCAAAAATTATTTCTCGCGAACATTTTAGTCGCGAAGAGCGGTGACCAAGAGCATAGCGTTGTTGAGTTCGCCAAGGGCACCGGCACTCCCGGGACTGTCGTCGGATCAAGCGTCGTCGGAGAAACCAACGTCGAGTTTAGCAAGTCAGTTAGAATGCCCACCGACGCCTACGCATCGACCTAAACCGTTGCGTCCGTTACCGATGTGCAACCAGACAACGTCGAACGTACCGTTGTCGGGATCCGAGGAACCTCTTCCTCCATGTAAAACGATGAGACTCCTATAATTATATTAGCGATACCGTGTAATCCAGTAAGATAGAAGATTTTTATCGAGTACAACGTCGTTGCAGCATGGGAAGCAAGAATCGACAGTCACGGTCGGGTATTCTATATAGATCACATTAATCGAACGACAACTTGGCAGAGGCCCAGTTTAACCACGCGGAGCACCGGTTGCGATCTACGGAGGCAGCAATTGGACAGACGTTATCAGAGCGTTCGTCGAACTATATCTCGACCGGACAATATCGATCGCGATCCGTCGTCGTCGTCGTCCAGCTCGCAACAACAACAACAACAACAACAACAACAACAACATCACGTGAACGGGAATAACTCGGCGGAAAACCCCGAGCGATCCAACAACGAACCAACCAACAACGAACGAACCGAGAGGAACGAGAGAACGGAAATAGAACCATTCGACCTCGCCACCAGCCCCCCAGTATTATTCTTAACGAGGCCCGACTTCTTCACAGTATTACATAGCCACGCGGAAGCGGTGGAACTGTATAATCGTAGCCCTAGCCTGAAGCATATGATCAGTAAGATTCGAAGAGACACGGCCGCCTTTCCGAGATACGAACATAACAGAGACCTGGTCGCGTTGATCAACTTCTTTGCCGATCCGTCGAAGGAACTACCGAGAGGTTACGATTCGAAACTCGACAGGACGGGCAAAGTAAATGTTTCATAAGTAGCGTTGAACTTACTCCTTCGCTCCCGTCTCGCGGGTGCGGCGTTCACGGAAAATCCGATTTAAATTGCGGCGACGTCGTCGTTTCAGAGATTCTTCATTTGCCACGCTAGAAAAGCAACGTCCTTCATCGATCCGAGATTGCCTACCGAGCCAGCACACACGCGAGCGTCGTTGGACGAGGCACCGGTACCACCGCCTAGACCGCAGCAATCGGCTGTCACGACTACACCGGACATACCTGTAGCTTATAACGACAAAGTCGTCGCGTTCCTACGTCAGCCGAATATCATGGACATCCTGAAGGAGAGACACTCCGCGCTTGGGCAAAATATCGCGCTTCGGGAGAAAGTCAACACGATAAGAATCGAAGGCACGGCTGCTTTGCAACGATTGGGTCACGACGTACCCTTGGCGCTGTTATTAAGGTACGATACGATTCTTACTTTTAAACCTGTCTGGTGAAAGCATTTGCTGGCTAAAGGTATAGTAGCGTCGATGGGTCGTCGATGTTAAAATTCGGCGCGGTTTCAGTTTGTTCGAACAAGAGATCATGTCGTATGTACCTGGAAGCGTGGGCAGATCGCCGCTGGGTAGTCCGCATGCGTCGCCCGGTTTGACGAGAGCCTCTGCCAGGGCCCCAGCCCCGCACAGAAGGGATTTCGAAGCAAAACTTCGAACGTTCTACAGGAAACTTGAGAGCAAAGGATACGGGCAAGGGCCAGGAAAATTGAAGTAAATATATCTAGTTTTAATTCTCAACTAACGACGACGACGACGACGACGACGACGACGACGACGACACGTTCGTTTCGCTCGTGTGCATCTTCTCATTTTCTGTTGTTTTGTTTTTACTCACGATCTACAGATTGCACATTAGAAGAGAGCATTTTTTGGAAGACGCTTTTACTCGTATCATGGCAGCTTCGAAGAAGGATTTACAAAAGAGCAAATTAGTGATCATGTTCGACGAGGAGGAAGGCGTGGATTACGGTGGACCGTCGCGTGAATTTTTTTTTCATCTGTCGCGCGAACTTTTCAACCCTTACTACGGGTTGTTCGAGTATTCCGCTAACGACACGTACACCGTACAAGTGTCGCCGATGTCGGCTTTCGTGGATAATTACCACGACTGGTTCAGATTCTCCGGTAGAGTGTTGGGATTGGCTTTGGTACATCAATATCTTCTCGATGCCTTTTTCACGAGGCCGTTTTACAAAGCTCTCCTCCGAATACCGGCGAGCCTCAGCGATTTGGAAAGTTTGGATCAAGAGTTTCATCAGAGTCTGATGTGGATCAAAGAGAGGGACATAAGCATCGAGCCGTTAGAGTTGACCTTCTCCGTGACGGAGGAGCTGTTGGGACGAGTGGCCGAACGGGAACTAAAACCGGGCGGCAGAAACATCGCCGTTACCGAGAAGAATAAAAAGGAATATCTCGAACGCGTCGTACGTTGGAGACTCGAACGAGGAATCGCCGAACAAACGGAGTCGTTGGTGCGCGGATTCTACGAGGTCGTGGATCCGCGATTGGTATCGGTGTTCGATGCACGTGAATTGGAACTGGTGATAGCCGGGGCAGCAGAGATCGATCTGAACGACTGGAGGGCTCACACCGAATACAGAAGCGGTTATCACGACGCTCATCCGGTCGTGGAGTGGTTTTGGAGCAGCATCAGTCGATTTACCAATGAACAACGGCTGAGATTACTACAATTCGTCACTGGTACGTCGAGCATTCCGTACGAAGGATTCGCGGCTTTACGCGGATCCACAGGGCCGCGAAAGTTTTGCATTGAAAAATGGGGAAGACCCAACAGTTTGCCCAGGTAAACATGTTGGTTTCACACGCTCGTCGATACGACGATTTTACTCGATCCCCGTTGATCGCTTCTCCGTTTCTCACTGCATCCGTACATATTTCCAGGGCTCATACGTGCTTCAATCGTTTGGATCTTCCACCGTATCCTACGCCTGAAATTTTATACGAAAAGCTGTTGTTGGCAGTGGAAGAAACGAACACCTTCGGGATAGAGTAAGTCGCGCAGACGACCCGAACGACCATCTGCTGTGCACCAAGTTTCGTTCGAACCACAAGTATTAACAGATCCAAAGACCCGTCATTGGTAATGGTAATTCTACCTATCGTTCTCGAATCTCGAGTGATCCGCGATTCCATTCTTTAGATGCCAGCGGCAGAATCAAAACTGTATCAAAATGTAAATATTTAAGAGAGAGAAAGAGAGAGAGACAGAGAGAGACCGTTTCGCGCGCATATTTTGAACGTATTTTCTCGACACGATTCTGATACGACATACTTACGTATAATAATGTCTCGTAAAAATACTCTTGGAACAAATCGTTCGACGAAAACGATGCTGAAGTAGCTGACTGTTGCGTTTTCACAGAAGGACATGTACCATAGTTACATTGCTAATTTATTAATTTATTCCGTAGTTAGTTAGTTAATTAGTTAGTAGATACGATAATGATTTCTAGTCCATTCGAACGTTGAATATCGTTGCTATTTTTTCCGAATATTTCCAACTATTCCACGCATTCCAATTCTTTTTAGAGTCGTCATGATTAATTTACATTAGCTGCGCGAACCAGAACCAGATGTTTAGAAAATAACAAATTTTTACTGCATATTTAGATGCGATACACGATGCGTCGTGCACGATCTCGGGAGATGCCGCAGACTATTATAAACGTCCTTCCGATCGGTTCGTCGGCGTGATCGTCGAGAAAGATCGACAAACAATGCGAAATCGATAAGAACAACGGGGATAATGATTAATCGTTGTCAGCTTTAGGTTCCGGTTCCGCGTTTGAACAGCTTACCGAGTGGTCGAGTCGATGCGTAAAACATGGTTCGCAATTTTGTTACGTTGAGACTAACTTCAAAAGAAGCACTAGCCAAGAATTATTACTATATATATACACACACACACACACGCGCGCGCGCGCGTTTGTTACTCGAAGGATTGGTGGTTAGTGGATATGTACATACATACATACATACATACATAGACACACACACACACATATACACTCCCTCCCATGCTTCAAGATTCAACCTCTACCTCTTGAACTTCAAATATCGCTTAGGTGGCTTAATGTCTTTTTATAAAAGAGAGTAAGTAAAAAGTAAGAGAAGGAGCTGATCCTCTTAAATCCCCGGCCCTTAAAGTATACACACTGATGCGCAAATACGCATGGGAACATTGGGAACGGCTATGGGAACGACGAGAACAGACCTAATCCTACTTCGTGCTTTTCGTCTATCTGAGATCGTTCGAGTTCACGCGTTAATAACAAATGACGATGACCGGTGGCGGCGGCGATGTCGATATAAATAACGATACCAACGTTAGCATTAGTAGTAACTAATAGCAATGATGTTATTCATTCGACATCGAACGGAAGTATGTACTAATATCATGTGATGATCGTTGAAATCGACTTGCACTTTCTATTATCCGTAAACTAGTCACATAGAATACATAGTAAATATACGGTAGATTACTTGGAGTATAATAATGTATGTACAACAAGATGACATAGGCAGGTGTGATCTTCGATCTTGCAATTAGATGACACACACATACACACACACACACGCACACACATTTACAAGGAACCGTGATCGTGTGAAAGCATTCTTTACTTTATTGTTAAAGAAAATAAAATGTGCCTCTTTTGTTATGTTACATTGAACATCGTTGTTTCTTTCTCGTATGCGTTTTTATACATACATACATACATATATATACACACGTACGGTAAGTGTATTTTACTTATGATGAAACGCGTGCCGATGAAGAGCAGATTATTGTTACGGAACATCGAATTTAATCGTAGCATTTTTATGAAAATATCGATTACAAACTTGTACGTTTACCTTATATCTCGTAATTTGGAATCGGATCGTGGTACGTATATACATTAGATACGTGCATACATACTGCAAGGAATAAGATATAACGGAAAAGTGGCACGCGTAGGCACCGGGCACCAGTGTAAGTAACTACGTGCAGCAAGAAGCAGGTAAGTATACGGGAAACCGAACAAACCGAACGAACAGGAGGAACAAGGAACGGGTGGGCGGTCGGTGGCGCGCGCGCGCGCACACGCACGTTCGGTTCGACGCGTTTGCGTTAGACTTTGTCTATATAGAGTTATCATCGATTTAGTTTTTAGAGTGCCGCCGTGAGTAATAATTTGAACAAGACCAAGTGTTCCGGCCTTAGCTAGGTGTATAGGCAAAATAGGGATGCATCGTCGGTAGAGCAACAAAATCGGCGCGCGTCGTCGTCCATGTTCCTTGTCTCCGGCAGCTCGGTAAAAGGGCACTACAGGCACGGTAATCGCCAGGTCGGTTCTCACGCGCGGTTCGCGCACGCAAATCGTCGGACCACCCGCAAAATCGTCGTCGAACAGCGGCAGCGGCAGCCATCTTTACTCCGCTCCGAGACGGGCTGTGGTTCGTTCGTCGTGTGGTGTGACTGACAGTAGTGTGGTTCTTGATGCGGTACACGCGACCATCTCGCTCGGAAAACGTTCTCAAGTGTGGCTTTTAAAAGTACGGAACTGAGGGAACTCGTGTGACGGATCCGGGGTCTAACAAATTATGGCAATGGAGACGCCGAGGGAGCGCGAGATCGCCGCGGAGGACAGTATCAAGGTAGTCTGCAGGTTTCGACCTTTGAACGACTCCGAGGAAAAGGCTGGTTCCAAGTTCATCGTGAAATTCCCCTCCGGCGGCGAGGATAATTGCATCTCGATCGGGGTAAGTGCCTCTCTCTCTTTTCTCATCTACGTTCTCAATCTTGCGTCTGGTCGGTTCGTCGCGTCGACCGTGTTCAGCGTTCAGCCTACATCAGCATACATACGTGTGATGTCATCGTGCACAGCTGACAGCTGCTCTTCACGGAACACTCCTCTCCGTCCTCTCCGTCCTCTCCGTTGTGCATCTTCTCATTTTCTGTTGTTTTGTTTTTACTCACGATCTACAGATTGCACATTAGAAGAGAGCATTTTTTGGAAGACGCTTTTACTCGTATCATGGCAGCTTCGAAGAAGGATTTACAAAAGAGCAAATTAGTGATCATGTTCGACGAGGAGGAAGGCGTGGATTACGGTGGACCGTCGCGTGAATTTTTTTTTCATCTGTCGCGCGAACTTTTCAACCCTTACTACGGGTTGTTCGAGTATTCCGCTAACGACACGTACACCGTACAAGTGTCGCCGATGTCGGCTTTCGTGGATAATTACCACGACTGGTTCAGATTCTCCGGTAGAGTGTTGGGATTGGCTTTGGTACATCAATATCTTCTCGATGCCTTTTTCACGAGGCCGTTTTACAAAGCTCTCCTCCGAATACCGGCGAGCCTCAGCGATTTGGAAAGTTTGGATCAAGAGTTTCATCAGAGTCTGATGTGGATCAAAGAGAGGGACATAAGCATCGAGCCGTTAGAGTTGACCTTCTCCGTGACGGAGGAGCTGTTGGGACGAGTGGCCGAACGGGAACTAAAACCGGGCGGCAGAAACATCGCCGTTACCGAGAAGAATAAAAAGGAATATCTCGAACGCGTCGTACGTTGGAGACTCGAACGAGGAATCGCCGAACAAACGGAGTCGTTGGTGCGCGGATTCTACGAGGTCGTGGATCCGCGATTGGTATCGGTGTTCGATGCACGTGAATTGGAACTGGTGATAGCCGGGGCAGCAGAGATCGATCTGAACGACTGGAGGGCTCACACCGAATACAGAAGCGGTTATCACGACGCTCATCCGGTCGTGGAGTGGTTTTGGAGCAGCATCAGTCGATTTACCAATGAACAACGGCTGAGATTACTACAATTCGTCACTGGTACGTCGAGCATTCCGTACGAAGGATTCGCGGCTTTACGCGGATCCACAGGGCCGCGAAAGTTTTGCATTGAAAAATGGGGAAGACCCAACAGTTTGCCCAGGTAAACATGTTGGTTTCACACGCTCGTCGATACGACGATTTTACTCGATCCCCGTTGATCGCTTCTCCGTTTCTCACTGCATCCGTACATATTTCCAGGGCTCATACGTGCTTCAATCGTTTGGATCTTCCACCGTATCCTACGCCTGAAATTT